AACCTGTGCCCTTTGGAATTGGAGAGTGGCTGTTAGAGGGAGTTGATGAAAGACCAGCTCCAACTGGCAATGATCTTCCTCTGCTCTAACTCATACTGCCCTCACGTTAGGAATATCACAATTTCTCTAATCTAACCCCAGGCCAATGCATTGTTTCTCCTATTATTATCCCACAAGTTGCCCCTGACAAATTTGGCATGACCATTTATTTCCTAGTTACTTCTGTTTGAATCTTAGTTTTTTCCCCCCAGCTTGCAAATCCCTGGGCAGAAGGTACCATGTTTCATAATTCCGTATCCTCCTAGGCCTACCAGTGACTTGGACATGAGAAGTGCTCACTAAATAGTTCAGAAATGAACAAAAAGAATAGGCTGTCCTCTAGACAAGTTTCTGTCCCCAGACCTCACCTTTTAACTGGTGAGTGCTTATGACCCTGTTGAGGTTCACAGAGGTCGCCTGGGGAGATCACAAAGCCCATTGTGAACCCTGGGTTGTTTTCCTTCCTGCTCCTCGTACGTGTCTTTCTAGGTGGAGCTGTTAGGACCAGACCTGGAGCTATAAGAGACAACTCCCTACTGTGTCTTGCTCTCTCTCTTTTTTTTTTCCTGATCTCTCGAGGAAGAGGAACATATTATCTGCCAATCACTATCTCATGGTTTCATTGAAGCAGCTCTCTCGGACCTCAGATAACTAAAAACTCACTTAATTTAATCCTCAGTAAGATATCCATTCTTCTATTTTATGTTTCTTTCATAGTACTGATCATAATTCGACTTTTGTAATAGTCCTGTTTTCAAATTTTTGTATAGACAAATATGTTGATTGTTTTTTGAGAATTCTATGAAATTTAGATGTGCTTTTCAGTAAGTAAAGATAGATTAACTTGAGAGTTATGAAATATATTTCATTCTGTTTTGGAAAGAGGTATAATGATATTTCATCACCATTAAGAATCTGGAAGGTTGCATAATTCTTGTTATTTTAACAACTTATCTGTTTGTTTGATCCTGGTTTGAATACGCTATTGGAAGTGGAACAAAATCTTGTGACTATAAACACCAAATTAACTATAAACTCCCCAACTCAAACTGCCCATTAAAGTTCCAAATATTTTGGCATTTAAAGTGTAAGCATTAATACTTCTAATGACTATTAACACGTAAATTGCATGCCTTCTTTTACCTCTTTTGAGTTATCCATGATCTACACAAAGACTTATATTTAGTACTTCCAAGAAGATCAAATTTATGTCTTGGTATCACTATAAATCCTTCCAGTGGCATCTAACTAGTGAAATGACCTTTGCAGTGCCTATTCGTTTTCAAATTGATTAATTTAGGTTGGTTTATAATTTCTAATTATCATTAGGTACTGATAATGAGAGTTATACTTTGTGACAGTTATGACAATAAAAAATATTGTTCCCAAAGATAAAATTTTGAAAAGATAAATTGAATTAGAAAAATAAATTAAATCAAAGTTTTAAACATTTAACTATAACAAAACTCCCTCACTTTAATTATGGACCTAGTGGAGTTAAAAAAAGTCTTATAAAGTCATGGAAGGTTGGAGCTAGAGAAAAAAATAAATCAGAGAAGGGAGGACAGGGCGTGTTGGATTGGGAGCAATTTTAATTAGATGGCCCTTCATTTAGAGAAGAGAAAATTGCATGTGAGAATAGAAAAATATGTCCAATGTCACAAAAAATTGTGCCAGAGTGAGCCCTATAAAGGAGATTTCATTCTTCCTGATTCAGAGAAATAGAGAATCAATAAAATAGATATAGGTTAGTCACCTGGCATAATTTTTCTGGGTGACTCAAAGTCGTATTTACTTATGAATTTGGTCACAGCTGGTCGTAGATGATTCTGCTTTCTCAGCTGTTAACATTTCAGTTGTTGAACTTTGCCAACAGCAGATCAGATCAGAAAGGGAGGGAGAACTGGGCATCAATCAAATTCAGAAGGAAGGAAAACCAAGCTAGGTAACTAAACCAGCAATTCATTTAAAAAACAAATGGCAAATGCTCATTGTGTGCCAGCCTCCAGGCTAGGCAAAAGCCAGACATGGTCCTTGTCCCCAATCTGACATGTAATTTTAGGGAATAAAAGAGATATGCTACAGATGGCAGCTCTAGGAGGATAAGATTTTGTGGGATGGTCATTTTCAAGGCTCTGAAAACTTTTTCTTTCGTTTCCGTATCCAGAACCATGTGAGAGTTGGTTACATTTATTGGCTGTGTAACCACAAGGTGTGGTAAAATGACATATAAAAACTTACTCTAAATGTCCCCAGTGTACTTCAAATGATAATTATGCTGGAGCCTTGCTAAGACTTTGATCCCTACGCCCCATGCTGGGTGACACCTTATTTGTCTTTGACTATGACTTTGCCTGGTCACAGATAAAATTTGTTTATCGATGTTTATCTATGATTAGTTCTTCATATGATTATCTATGATTAGTTCTTCAGTAAAATTTAGAGGATAGACTTGATTCATAATGAAATTCACATCCTATCTTATAATGCTACAGCAAAATCTAATGATCTGATGTTCAACACTCGATAGTTTCTAGCGAAGCCTAGATTTTGTATAACTATTTGCATCTTCTATTTTCATAAATACACACATACATTTTTATTGATAAAATTCAACTCAGATATTTTCTAGAAAAAATAAACATGTTAGAAGTAACATTATCATCTCAAAAAGAAATGGGACGTGGCAGCAAGGAAAGAGTTAGCATCTTACCAGCAGGGACCTTATCTCTATCCTGTGATACAACCATCACAAGACCAGGCCATCTACTGTGTTTTATGGTATCCGGTTTGATCACTGTCTTTACAGGAGTTAACAATCTTATCTCTTTCAGGATATAAATTCTTTAAAGTCAAAGATTTTCCCCATGCTTGAGAGTCGTGAGCCTTCAACGTGCATGAATTATAACCATCATCAACTAAGGTTTTTTGTTGTTGTTGTTGTTGTTATTCAAAAAAAATGTTTGCCACATAGGGACAGAGATTGGACTGGTGGTTACCAGAGGGGAAGGGGGGAGGGAGGAGGGCAAAAGGGGTGATTAGGCACATGTGTGTGGTGATGGATTGTAGTTAGTATTTGGGTGGTGAACATGATGTAATGTATGCAGAAATAGAAGTATAATGATGTACACCTGAAATTTATACAATGTTATAAACCAATGTTACCACACACACAAAAAAATGTTTGCAAGCCTGTTATAATCTCTTATTTAATCACTGTCATTCGTTCATTAAGTAAACATTTTTGAGCGTCTGCTATGTATGACCGAGGAATCACTCTAGGTACTAAGAATTCAACAGTGTATGAAACAGACAGAAAAATCCCTGCCTTCATGGAACTTACAGTCTATTAGGAAGACATATTAATAAACATAAATTTTTTAAAGTGAAATATATAGTATGTTAAACAAACAAAAAAATTAATGAAGAAAAATAAAGCACCGTAAGAAAACAGGGAGTGTTTTTGTTTTGGCATAAAAGCGGGGGGCTGCAATTTTAAACCAGCTGACCAAAGACACTGACATGAGAAAGTGGCATTTAGGTAAAGACCTAAAGAAGCAGGGAGAAAACCATATGGAAATCAGGGGGAAGAGCTTTCCAGCAGAGGAAACAGCAAGTGCAAAGGCCCTGAGGTGGGAACAAGCCTGGGGTGTTCCAGGGAGCCGAGAAGAGGCTAGTATGTGAACAAAAGGGAGGTAAAGTCAGAAAAGTAATAAGGGCCTGATCCTGTAGGGCCTTGTAGCTCTTGGACCTGTAAGAATGGAAACCATTAGAAAACGTTGAAATGACCTCGCTTACATTGGTACACAGCAGAAGAGCGATCCTGTTAAAATCACTTATGTATGTAATATAGTATCTGAAATTTAAGTGAATAAAATGAATGGATTATTTGCCAGGTTGCTGGAAGCCTGCTCATGAGAGAGGACAGAACTAGGAACTAGAGATCCACAGACATAGGAATGAGTGAGGGAGAGGAGTTCACAGAGGGAAAGAGTATGAATACTAGGGGTCAGTACACAGAAGTCCAATATGAGATTCTTCAGGCAAGGAAGGAGATGACGAAGTAGGCCTCCAAAATGTAAGAATCCAATTAAAAAGAATTTACTGCACACACCCCACAGGCATAGCGAGAAGAACATGAATGATCCCACCGAGGAAGGTTTGGCAGCTGGCACTTTCTCAGAGTGGAACAAATTTTAGAAATTTTATAAGTTCAAACAATAGCCCAAAGTCTGTGCTATTATACACAATAATATAATAATAATAATACACTATACTATTTCTAGAGAAAAAAAAAAAGACCAAAGAAAAAAAAAATTGAGGTACATACACAGACACAACAAACAGCATCTCAGGACAGAGAGGCATTATACAGATTCCGGGAGCTAGCGTCTGTATACTTTCTCGGAGGAAACATTAGTAACATGGACTGAATATTTACATAGTTTTAACTTTTAAAAACCATTTTGTGTCTGATATCATCTGATTAAAGGTCTTTAGTTGCTGGGCTGGGGCAGATACAAACTAGGGAATCAGCTTTGAGGTGAAAGTTTCTCTCTCTCTCTCTCCCTCTCTCTCTCTCTCTGTTATTTTTGGCGCCAGGAAGATGAGGCCCTAACTGGCAGTCCTTTGAGCTGCGCCTCCTTTGTAAGGAAGCTGTAATCTTTCTGAGTGCCTGGGTGGAGCGTGAAGGAGGGGAGAAGGGGAAGGGTGGCAGATTCACGGATGGGAGCCAGCTGAGGCAGGAACACCAGGGGCTCGGGGAAGGAGGTGGGTGGAGGCGGGCATAGGGGACGAATGGGGGCAAGAATCTCCGGGATCTGGGTTCCCGCAGAAGATGGAGAAGCTGCGAGGAGGCCGGCTGAACTCCTGCCCTGGCAGAGTTTGCTACAGGGGAGCCGGAAGGCCAAGGGGTTAGGCCAGGGGTGGGATGGTGGGACGGACAGACAGAGGTCCCTTACTCTTTAGATTTATCCGATCCGTGCGCCGAGTTGATACGATGCACCTCTTTCTTTTTGGTTGGTTTGGAGGTCATGGCCCAGGCGGACCCAGGCAGGGGCTGAGCTGGGAGCGAGGAGCCGGCTCCGCGTCTGCGGTTGCCAGGCGACGGCGCCGCGCGTCCTGAGGAAGGGGCGGGGCGGGGCTGAGGCAGGGGGCGGGGCTGAGGCCGGGGGCGGGGCTCCCGATGGGCGTGGCTATCGGGGGCGGGGCTGAGGCCGGGGCGGGGCTCAAGCCGGGGGCAGGGACGCGAGCGAGGGGCTCAGCTCTCCAAGTCCAGGTGGAATCCCAGAGGTTGCTGTCTGGGGAGGAATCAGGGCTTCCCGGGCCTGGACTCGACAGTAGGATTGATGGGTAGTTATGACAAATTGGAGTTCTTCTACCAGGCCTCCTCTGCCTGGCTTTGCCCTTCGGAACCACAGACACATATCGACTCTCTCGTGGGTTTTCAACGAGTTGAAGATGGAATGATGCGAGGTCCCCTCTCCCCAGGTCTTCTCTCCGCTGAACAAGTTCCTTCAGTAATAACTAAGGAGACATTATGGACACACTGAAGTTGCCAATGGCTTGAAAAGCGCGGGTCCAGAAATGTATACAGTGAGTTCAAGGGGATGCCTGCAGGGAAGGCAAGATGTGACACCCTTAGTCGTTTAAGGTTCGATGATGTCTGTGATTAAACAAGTCAGGTGTCTCAGTCGTTCATATGAAAGAATAAATTCAAGTCATGGAAGCGAGTGGTCCTTGATACACTCACTTGAAAAGGCAGTGGATCCAGATGACTCATGTCCAAGCAAACCAAGACCTATTAAGGTTCCAGCCTAATGCTCAGCTAATCCGTAGTGGTGTTGATTAGTTACTTTGGCTTCAGCAAGTTCTTCCTTTTGAACCTCAGTTTACCCATCTGTAAACAGGAAAGACTAATACCTAACTCACAATTCTGTTTTGAGGATAAATAAGATGTAAAATATTTAGCATACGATGAAAGCACAGAAGATAGGAACCCCTATTTCAGAGATGACAGCTCAAATGCCTTCAAGGAGCAGAGAGATAATATGAATGAATGAAGCTGAGAAACTCTTAGGCTGGAAAAACTTGGAAATTCATTAAAACAAAACAAAATAGTATACTGGCCCAATACAACCTCACTTCAGAGAGATTGGACCATGCACAGGCCTGAGGTTTAGTTGGCTTCTCCCATGAGCCTAGAAATAATTAACAATTGTTAAATAAAGCAATCCCCTCTGCTCTTGGGACCGGGCACTGCTCAGAGGCCCAGCTGTACAGGCGAGAAGCAGCTTTCTGCAAAGGAAATCTTGCAACTGCTTTGACAAATGAATGCCAAGCCCTCTCCACTCAGCATAGTCTTTGCTTTGTCAGACTATCCCAATCTTATTATTATTGGCTGTTACATAGATGACAGACAGAAACTTCATTGTATTTCTATATGCAAGATAACTTAAAAGTCAGTGTTAATGTTATGACTGAAGAAACACCCTACAACCATCTCTTATATATGTGAAGACAATGAAGACATCTTGAGGGCTCTGCCTCATTTATTCCAGGATTGAAATTCCCAGAGAAGTCTCCTGAATGAAAATAGAGGGCCAAACTTCAAGAAAATATTATTCAATGCCAAATCTTACCAGAATAATCCAATGCATAGCCGTAAGCATATAGAAAGACTTTTGGGTAAAAATAGCACAATTTTAAGCAACCAGCCCATGGCAGGTAAGCTTCACCTTGAGCCAGGGCTATCCCTGAAGCCATTGTTAATGGTTGCAAGATGGCAAGAGCATTAGAGAAGAAAAGCCTTAGAAATCAAATGATCTACAGCCCAACCGTATTTTACAGATGAAGAATCCCAGATCAAGAGAGTGTCTTGCCAGAAGTTGCATGGCCACTTAGTGGTGGAATTTGGACCACACGCGTTGAAGGGAGGAGCATCAGTTTAAGTCCAACATCTCACTGCTCCACTCAGAGACTGCTTTCTCATCTACTAAAGTAGGATAAAAATAAGGGGATTGACATCAGAATACAATGAGATAATAAAAAGTTTTTTGAGAAGTATAAAGTGCTTATTAATTTCTAATCCAATGTTCTTTCTCCTTTATTATGTTATGTATGCATCATGCATACGTGGAACTTATCTTCTTTCTGGACTTAAACTCTTGTCAGGCCATGATTCTAAGAGGCAAATGTGTTCCTCTATAAACCATAAGATGGTATTTGTATGTGCCAGTGCAAAAAGAACAATTGGCCCTACATCTATCTTTTTGTTAACCCATATTCTAATGCGCAGATGGTAATCATGATCAATGTCATTTTGAAACGTTAATAATAGCTGGGATTTATTGAATTCCTGCTGTACACCAGGCTGAGGAAGGGCTGCTAGCTCTTTAGAGCATAAGCGTTAGAGACAGACCTGAATTTGAATGCTGACTCTTACTAGTTGAGTTACCCTGGGTAAGTTATTCACACTCTCTGAATTCCATTTTCTTTATTTGTGGAAAAGGAAGAATAATACCTCAAATATTGTGTTGGAACACCATAAGCACTCAAATAATAACAGCTAATCTTATCTTTATTTCACAGGTAAAGAAACTGAAGTGCAGGGAGGTAAGGGGACTCGCCTGGCATGGGACAGGCGGCAGAGCAAGGTAGGATTTCCAGGCTGACTACCATTGCTGTCATCTTCCAGAGTGGCTCCTGAGCACAGCAAATGCAGATGATTGCCTTGAGACTCACTTTAGTGAATTCCAGGTTGTCTTTCTGTTTAGCAACTTTCAAAGTCTGAGAAACAGGACTTATATTTTATTAGAGCGAGGAGTGGAGCCTCTCTCCACTCTATACTTGATTTTCTGAGGAAGGATTATTTGGCTTCAGGCAGCAGTAACGCCTTCTCCACAGGGAAGTGGTTAGAAATACTCACTTCTCCCTGTCAGCAGAAACAGAAGAGGCAGGAGCTCTCTCTTTGGGCTACTTGGGGATCTGCTGAAATGGGGAAGTGACTTTGGTAACCGCTTCTCCACCCCACGTCGGGAGTCCCAGAAAACTGGAACTGGGCGGGAGTAAGGCAGGGAGAGGGGCAGTGCTTCTCTTTCTTCAAGCCATAGCTCTGGGCAGCTTCAGACATTTGGTCCCTCAGCCGTAGGAAATTATATAGACGGTGCTGTTCAGCCACCTCTGCAATTAGGTCAATTATAAAGTTGTCTAGAATTTAACCAATCAAATGAGGAAGCCTACATTCTGACGTTCTGCTTAAGGTTCAGGGTAACTGTCCTTTCAAGTTCCGTCCTTTGTCACTTTTCTTTAGAAATTAATATCCTCCTCCCTTATTTTCCACAGTTTTATTTGTTCATCTTTTAAAATTCCTCTAATACTCGGCCTTATTTTCATCATTGCTCATGCCCTGGCCCTTCTCATTTACTAGACTGTAAGGTCACTTCCGGCAGGACCTGTTCTATTCCTCACCAAATTCAGTTCAAATTCTGCAAGCCCCTTCAACACCTAATAATCAGAGCTCACATTTATTGAGCACTTGCTGTATGCTTGGCATGCTACTAAGCTCTTTTTCTGTATTGTCACTTAATCCTCATAAACACCCTCGGAATATGTTGTTATTACGATCTCTCTTTTGAAAATAAGGAAACAGGCAGAGAAGTTAAATTAAATTAGGCAGGCAGAGTTCAAGCCCGTGCATTCTGGCACCAGACCCATGCTCTTTTTAACCACATTATTCTGCCTCTTACTCCCTCCATGATCACAATCCTGTGAGGTGTTGCAATCAGCCCATTTTATAGAGAACGAAAATGAGCTCTAGAAAGGTATAGCAACATGCCCCAAATCCAAAGCCCAGAAGGGGTGGATCCAGGATGTAAATGCGAGCTATTTTATTTTATTTTTGTTGTGGGAAGGACACTTCTCAAGAGATCTACCCTTTCAACAAATGTTTAAGTGCACCATGTAGTTTTGTTAATTGTACGCACAATGTTGTATGGCAGATCTCTAGAACTTATTCACCTTACATAACTAAAACTTTATACCTGTGCACGCTCTCAAGTCTGCTACTTTGCTGCCTTCAAACAGAGGGAGTCGAAAAAAATGTTTACTATATGGCACTGAAAATATTATTAAAAATTGCAACCTAGATTCAGCTTTGTCCCCTAATGTTCAGTCTCTTCAGAGCCCACTGGTTATGGAGGATTTGGATCCTACAGATGTGAAACCAATTGTCCCTGCTGGAGAAAGCCTCATTATTCTAGGTAAACCTTGACTTATAGTTTTAATTATCTTTGAAAGGAAATTCTGAGTAGGAATTCTTAAAAAATGGGAGAATAAGGAAATAAGATATTTTCATGATACAAGCTGAAAAATAATTTCCATCTTTGATAAGCTGTTTAAATAAGAAGCAATAGTTTTCCTGACTGTCATGTAACACTTCATCATGATGCAAACTAACCTGCATCTGTATAACGTTGATATCACCTATGCAGTGGATGCCATGGTAGTAATCGAGATCCCCCTTCTGGACAGAGGCCCTCACTTCCCTACCAGAGGAAGCTTCCTCACTCAACCCAAGTTATGGCTTCTCCCTGAGAGCTTCCTGCATCTCACTAGGGATGTGCAAGGGAGGGGATATAATTGGGACAACTCTGAAAGGTCCTTCTCTCTCCAGAGCTCCCTTATTATTGGTGGAGACCTTTGTTACAACAGCACTGCAGTTTAACTTCTCCGTCTGCCCAATCCTGCTGGCCTTACACTCTTGGAGATATTACTGAGAACACTCACTAATAAACATCGTGCGTGCAAATCTCAGAGCGTGAGAGTCTCTTTCTTGGGAACCTAGAACGGTTGATATCAGGGATGACGCTAGGAAGCTGACTCTAGAATGAGATTTGGGAAGATTTCTGCTTTCAAACAAGATGAAGTCACAGGGAGTGAATTTATCTTCTCACATGCAATAACTAATAAACTGAATAAAATATATGTAGACGTTGGCTATCAGGCAATGAAAGGCAATGATCCCCAAGAGATGGAAAACGAAAAAGGTGGGCTTTATAATTGTCCCGG